TATATTCATAGACAACAATGTTCCTAAACAGTAATGTTATCAGATTGTTGTAATAATTATGTTCCTGGAGTCTAATAATAATTAATATAGTTTGATTTATTACTAATAAATACGTTTTATTTGAGTAATTCATCTCTGTGTTTTCTAATTTTATATTATTCCTATAAATTCTCAAGTAAATTTGCTTTGTGAGCATATCAAGTTATGCAGAACGCGTCGTGGACGTTTTTCAAATGCACATATCGCGTTGTGGATAATAAAAACGTCCACACACCGGAAAAATATCTCATTTCGGTATTTGGATGATCAGCACCGTCCACAACGCGTTATGGATGTTTTTTTCGCTCACTGAGCGATTTCGGTATTTGGCCGTAACATATATATATGAAACTTTTGATTACACAAAATCAAATACATAATAAATTTTTAAGCGAAAAGCAAATAATTTCTTCTCTATTACATTTAGCTTACATAATTTTATAACGTTGATGAGAACTACATAATAAAAAAACTATCAAGAAATAATTAAGTGCGAAAATAATTTTTCTGCATTTTGTCTATACTTTCAATCATCTCACAAAATTAAAATAATTATTAACAATGCGATAATATGAAATATAGGTGAGTACATACTTACCGTATGGATTATATAAAAAAATCATGGACTTCCGAAGCTGCTTTCTGAAAGTACGATTTTACAACAATGTACATATCTCGTCTTGATGTAATAAATCGTTGTATTCTGTATATCATCGTATATGTTATTGTTGCAAACATTATATAAATTATATGATGTGTAGAATAACGTAGGTTTTTAAAATTATTCATACTTATTATAATAAGTTGTATTGTGTGGCGATCGTGGCGCAGAATGATGGTATTTGGAGAGGAAACCGACCTTCAAGGCTGACAACCTATTCTCAGAAAACAAAATGTTATTTCGAAATCTCAAAAATTATGAGACGGCCGAGGTTCGACTTGGATTGTAGCGCCATTGATTGACTGAATTGATTGTGGTGGATTGGGTTTCAAGAAAAAACGCAGCTTTCACTCCCAAAATTACAAACAAGAAACCAAGCTGAAAGGAAAAAGAATCAAGGTAGAACGTCGAGCAAGACAAAGTGATATATAGGGTGATTCGTAAATAATTGACAACTCCAAAGCGTTTTCTATTAAAATGTGAACGTTTATTAATCCGTATGGAATATCAATTACTCTATGCTATAAAAGAATGCATCTGTTGCTAGCTTCTTGGTTCGAAAGTATGTAACAAAATACTATAAACAATAATATGGTATTAGAGTGGCGAATAGTAGAGAAATGGAGATGGTGCCATCAACAGCAGTCGTATCGCGACGGGTATTATTCTATAACTCTTTAGTTAATATTATCATTAGACGCGTTACACGACTGTACATCCTAATGCGTGTCTTCCTTCGTTGTCACAAAAATCTTCAGGATCTCTTTTCGAAATTCATCGCGGAGGTACGTGTACCGGGACGCAGGTGCATCACGAAATATAAGTCGACGCGCGTGTCTCGTAAAACACGCGGTCGGGGCCCTATATTCCTCATCCCCTATTTTACAGTCGAGTACATTTTACAAGTGTACATGCGTATAAATGTATCTCCGTGTCTAAAACGCTACTCTTATCCCTTAGACCACTATCGCAATATTTAGTAAATACATTTGGCGTTTTGACCTTACGCAATTTTTTTGCTGCAGGGTAATTCGCGCTCGCTCCATTCGTTATAACGGGCCTTTGCAAATAAGGTCTTGAAATAACGACGGGAGAGCTGTATTAAGACAAATGCAATATATTTTTCAAATTAAAACGCACAGATTAATTCATTTCTCCGGATTTCTGAATACGAATACGCTCTGGCTTTTGAAAACAATCGATTCTATAAACAAATAAATAATTTGACAATATCGATATAACGCAACTCAATGCATTATTGCATTCTCGTTAATAACGTCGCGGACGACAGTGTTAATTGCCCTAAGTAAATATAATTTTTAATCTAACTGATTGTGAAAATCGGAAAAAAGTGTATTTCCTCGGATGCTCTGAGACTTTGAAAGCGAGACTAACCGCGAAAAGAAGAAAAGGGAAAAAAATATCGAGAGGATCGTGTCGAATGATCGGGGTCACATCTGTGTGCTCGCAATGCGTTAAACTTGACGCGCGCTTTTAACTTTTTTTTACCTCAAGTCCACAAGCCTCACGTCATCCAGTCAGTAAAATGAACAGGACGTCTAGCAAATAAACTCCCTACGGCAAAAATCGAGAAAAAGAAAGTATTAGGTTTCCATATTCTAACGCTGTCGTCGCGCGCGCGACAATTAATAATTGGAAGGAAACACGAAAAGGATGGAGGAGAAAGCGACAATCTGATATCGCCCCCAAACGAAAATGAAAGAGAACTCGGAAGAGACTTAACACGGTAGGATGAACGCTGCCGTTGAAAATAAACCTAATTAATGAGAGCCCTCGAGTCGATCTCTCGAGCTGTACGGCACGTAAATAAAAATAAAAGGAAAAAAATATCGTCTTCCACGGTACAGCCGTCGTGTATTCTTGCAACACGACCGTCGATGGTTCGTTTATCCGTCCGATTGACTGTTTCCTCCATTGTTTTACGACACTTTTAGTTAAAAGGGACGCAAGGATAAGAATGCGTTACTTTACTATTTCTTACACTAGTCCGCGGTACAATTCTAACTTGCGTGTAAACCAATCCGTGAACGTGCATCGACGTTAATATATGTATATATTCACAATCACACAAGCTGTTTAGCTTGTTCTTTATCTGCATCTTCCAAAATCCAGGTGCCGAGGCTCGCTGTCTGTCGCTTAATCCGGACACGCAGAGCATGCAAACGTGCGCGCGTTTCGAAATAGTGAAAAAGAGAAATGATAAACACAAGTCAATCGCTGTAAGAGTTTTGTACGTTTAAACCTGCCAAAAATATATATGTATATTATATTAATGACAGATCATTGATAAGTTCTCACGAGTCTATTTATCAATAGATGTATTGCAAATGTTTAGACTTAAATGTTATTCTACTGGGGAAAAATGGAACTTTTTGTAGAAAATCGTCACTATCCATATAATTATAATTACATTATATTATGTATATAATTTTTTTATAGTTATCCAATATATAAAATTCTTAGAAATCAATCAATAGCAATTATAATGTTTAATCTCAATTGTAAAAGCCCGTGCATTCTCTCGACTTCGTTCAAAAGCTCGATTCGCGTTTTAGGTGCGCGCGAGATGTATTCAGGACGAAAAGTCAAGTGGTCTAAAATCAATTTTAAACTTCAATCGGCACTTCGCTACACGTACATAAAAGTATCTCGACACGTACGACCTCGCGAGTGGCACCAATCAATGAAGTGTCGTGTTAAACCTTAAATCTACTTGACACCGCTCGATCCGCCGTAACGGATGTATCGTCGAACTGGGTTTTCCGTCGCGATTTCCGCAAATCTTCTCCCTTTTTCTCCGTTGAATACACCTATACAAGCCGACGTCGAGTAAATTTGCGGCAAGTAACGTTGCGCCTTCTTCGATTGTTCGCACTTGTTTCTCCCTCGCTCGTCCCACGAAGTACCATATGCCGATCCTTT